TTTATACTGTATAATATACTATATTATGTGTATAATATTCCGCACATTCCGCACAATTTTATACCTTTATACTATAGTGTTTGAAATGTATGTACTTATAGACATCATAATATTGTTTTTATAATATATAATAATGAATGTTAATAATATTCCGTGTCGTGACAATGAAGCTTAAACAGCATAATAATTAATTACTGTTTTCAATGTTTTTAAGATATGAAAAAAGTCAAGTGTTCGCACGCTATACAAAAGCCATAAGAAAACGTTTGGGTATGTTGCACTAGCTGCTTTAAGGCACCGCCATGAGTTTTCGAGCATTGTACTCGCTGCTATAGTTTTACAATATCAAATGATTGGAATGATTTTGATGAAAAAGAGTGGTAAAGACGATTTAAGCGAATGGTTGTTTCTTCTATACAGTAAATGCGTATGAAGAATTTGGCTTGTGACATAGTGAGGTGCATGAGTAATAAAATAGAGAGTTTTCGATTGAAAAGTTTCAATTTTTGCAGGATTCCTATACGGCTATACATACTTGGACAGTTGGACACCGTACAGCCATACAAGCTTAAGAAATAGTTTATGAACATTAAGTTTGAAGCGAAATTCGAATACTGAGTCTGTAAGATTTAGACAATAGATTGTAATTTTACATTTTCTGTACCGTAAAACGATATTCAGTGCACTCTAAGCGAGCCACTTGTCAAAGTTAATGCCTATATATTTGGTTGAAAATAAATAACTAAAAAAGTAAAATTAATAATAGGTATACCGATATAAAAAATGCATCATCCAAACTCTAATTATAATGAATAATAATAAACAATTTGGTTTTTCTTTGTTCATCAAAGCATGAGGACAAGTTAATAGAAAAGAAACACAATTATTGGTAAAAAAAAAAAAAAATCAAATCAAAAAACGCACTTTTTTTTTTGTTTTTTAATAGCAGTTCGTTGTATGCGAATAAAGCACAATTTTTTGTTAGTGTACGTGTTCATAGTATATAGATACATAAATGCGTTGATGGGAAAAAATAATTAATTAATTTAATGAAGCTATATATTATAATATGTGTACCTAGTTTATAATTTTTATAAAATTATATTTTACTTTCTCTTTTATAGTTTTTTGAAATGAGATTTGGTGAAAACGGGTTAAAGATATTTAAATACAAGATAAAAAAAACCGCAAACGTGTACAATATTATATTATAAATCGTGTAGTTGATTCAGTGTATCGTGTATAATATTATTATAATGTGATGTGTCCAAGTCACTCGCTCTTGGTAAGTGGACTAAAGTGGTAACCAGTAACCACCCTCGTCTGGGTGTAATTTCTTTGACGTTCGGAAATGGCACCAAACGACCTACGACTCGCTAGACTCGATGACCTTACAACAAACATTTAAGTACCTATACACGTGATGATAATAAAGATGCTTAATACCGTGAATAACCTAATTTTAATATAGTAATATGGTAATTTTACGCATCGGACGACGCGACACTGCGGCAATGGACGTTATCGTACCAATATAATATGTATATATATACATATAATTTGTGCGTATAATGTCTATAAAGACGCTAGCGGGGAACCAAAGAGGACGTGTATAATATGGAGATGAAGAAGAGTGTTGGACAGCAGCGCAGCAGCATCTAAAATCGGTTCTCTACGGATACTATCGTGTGCGGGCGTATAATTATTATCACAATAATATAGGTAATATATTATTACGGTATAGCTACATGGCCTGACAGCCGTGAACTGTGCAGCATCATTATCGCGGACATTGGACATCTACGTTTACGTGTATACAGGATGATTCACCAAGGATGCTCACCTTTTTTTTTCTTCAATGATACAGTAATTCAAAATCTGATTTTCTGATTTTTTAAGTAAGGGACCAGGGACCTACCTATCTAAGATCCATGGTATTTTCAAGTGATTTTTTGTACTGCTTAATGAGCGTTTCGTGCAGAAAAAACTTATGTGTTTCAAATAAGAACCCTCCTTTTACTCTGTAAATTATTTAGGGGATAATTTTTCTGTAAGTGTTGACGTATCATAAATCATAATCAAAATTTAAACGAGTAGTTATTTCTTATTAAGTTATTTATCTTTGTGATCTAAGGATAATAAGTCCACGCTAATGGGTTTGGACGATATGGGGAATGGCATGATTTGAAAATTGTAGTAATTATTTATAATCTATCAACATATTATGTAAAAATGTCCCAAATGTATCAATTCTTAAGGTGAATAATCACCCTGTATATTATGCATTCGAATCGATTTTCTGTGCGCGCATGAATACTCAAGTGATATTAAATGATTGCGAGAGGAAAAAACAGTTTGATCCTTTCGTGTGGCGCTCCGTTGAGGCCGGGAGGGGTGAACTTGGCCTGACAAATTTTACGATCGCCGGACGGGAAATTTAACCGTGTGTGTGATGCGACGTTGACCCATATAATATTTTGGATGTCCTGCAGTGAAAAGGAGAGTGTAGTAGCGGTGTCGTCGATGTCCTTGAATATAATATTACCCATCATATTATATATGGTACACCCAAACCTATAAATATTATTATAACGTCCCGCACGGAAACCGTAACGCGCGCGCGCACACATTATATTATTATTATCATACGCAGTATATAATATATAGAGGTATATGTGTATGTGTATTATTATAGGTACCTATATATGTCCTGTACGTTGACGATATTATACGATCACGTCTTTTGTGCTCGTTGACTGCCGGACGGAGGGAAAAAAAAAGAAAAGTAAACGCTAAAGGGTTGTTCGATGAATAGAACCGGTCTCGTACGTACCCTTACATAATCTTACATATTATTATTATAGATATACCTGCATTATATATTATTGCCATCGCGTGTATACCGTACATGATATTTTTGTATTGTATATACGCTGTACGGCTGCAGTTATATTATCATGTCATCTATATATATATGTTATGTAATATAATATTATACCTATACTATATACGTACTATATATATATATGACACGTCCGATCGTAAAATATAAATCGTCCATCGATCGCGGACAACCGTAATCGCGCCCGCGGAGACGCAAAGTACCTGACGTCTCTTTTTTTTCTTCTACCTCTTCTTCTTCTGTTCGGCCGTCGTCGACGGTTCTCTCCGCACCATCGTCCGACGGCGTTGCAGCACGACGGGTATAATAATATAATAATGTAATAATAATATGTAGAACGACACATTATTATTGTTACAGTCTTTTTGTTGCTCGCAACGGCGGCCGGGCCTGCAGCGTTCAGCGCCCGCGGGAGGGTTTCGACGTGAGGTGTAATATAATAATAACACACATATTATACGATTATTGTAATACGTTATCGGCGTGTCCGCTCTTTCGTCGGATTTTTCGGTGTACAAATCGTTAACAGCGGGGGTGGACGCCCGGGCACCGTATGATCCATATTATAACATTATATTATATACTGGGCGTTCGACGCGTATCATACAATGCTATATATATGTATATATTATTGAGTATTATTATTATATACAATATATTATATTATATGCATAATACGCACCTATATGGCTATAATATGGTGACGACGAGATGATTCCCACGCTCTTCCGGGTTCGAAGTAAACACGCGCGGCGTATAACCGTTCGGCTGGTAGACAGTAGGTACAACGTCGTTATTATTATCGAGCGGGAGTGCAGGTCGTGTGTGAACCGATTTCGATAAATTATATTATATATTTTTATCCTGGACTTCGAAAATTATAATATTATATAATATATTAATATAGGTATCGATAAAGTGCACAGTGTTGCGTGTATCCAAACCGTCTCATCGATCGGTAACGAGTCGACTGTGATGCGCGCGGGAGTATTCAAATTTCAAAGTTGTCCGACTACTGCCACAATAACGTTGACTACTACTCCAAAATAAATCTTGTAATTAATTTTATAACTTTCTACTAAAGCAAAATCAATCATCAGATTTAATAAATTCATCAAACACTATACACAGTCCCCCTATTACCGTTTCGGGATAAAATTGCACTTGGGTTAAAAAAAAAAGTAATGATAGAACTGCAGTCGAAAAGCAAATAATGGTCAAACAACACTCGGATTCAAAAAAAGGGGTTTCAACAAATATATTTTTAAAAAAAACTCAATTTAAACATTTTGAAACCAAGAACTTCATTTTCCGCTTAAAACATAATCATTGGCATACTAATAATTAATATATTTTTATAATTCATAATTTCATATGTATATATGTACTGACTACTATGTATATTATTATATATTATATTTCAAAGAAAATATAAGGTCCCGGGTCCAGATCCCCCTCTTGGGCCATACCTATAATGTGCTATATGCCTATATAAGATTGATTTTTCCTTTAGTTAAACTGTCTATGTTTTAAAAAGTAAAGACTCCCCGCTTGAAAAAATTCTGGTTGCGCCACTGACACCATTCACGGTCTAATATTAACTGTAAATCGAACTTCTACGCATTAAAATTATACAGTTATGTGATAACTGATATTTTTACAGCTAATTTAGATAAAGCCAATTATTTGAAGTACAAATTGATAAAAACTAATAAATTACGATTTCGTTATGTAATATGAGATAAATTACATTTCTGATTTCAGTGTTAGTTTATTACTCTAACTATATATACTTACAGGCTACTGCAAAATAACTAAAAATTATGTTTTTGATCACGAGTTTTAATTTGATTCAAATTAGACCTAGGATCTCTAACTTCTAACAATAGTAGGTATAGTGTATACCAACACAACACGGAAGCCATTTTTTCGGACTTGGACGAATTGTAAGTCGTTTTAATAATAGTTTATTTTCAACATATGCATAATAATTATGAATTATTCACCTATTATTATATTATTTTATTATTTATTATAGATTCCGATCTATACATTGTACAAATGTACAATATAACAATTAGAAATTATTCAAGACAAAATGAAAACGTTTAACTCGATTATCAGCGTTTTATTTCTATGCCTCTTGTGTACTCTGGCGGAGGTAAGCTGTAAGAAAACTAAAGACGTGCCCACTTATCAGGAATTCTCCGATGCCATTAATTCAACGATACATAAAATAGAAGATGTGTTTCACCCATACGTCAGTCATAGCGATCCGTATGCCAACAAACCGACGTTTTGCAATGCTCAATCGTGTGGTGGTTGTTCCGACCAACCGTTTATAAACATTAACAATTGCATTAGATGGTGTAGACCACCATGCATGTGCATAAGTCCCGCGAACGGAAGAGGCGATGACATAATGTGTTCAAAGTCCAGACACAGAAGGACCAAATTGTGATGAAAATAATTTGAAAAAGGAAATGTGAAAATCCTACGCTCAGAAATTCGGATACAGTAGTAGGTATACATTGTAGACCTTAAAGAATTAATCTAATCAATAGGAAATATGAGAAGAGTTACACAATGTTACATAATATGTTACAAATATTATTTACAGATATAGTATTACAGATTCCAAATATCCACATCAACTCGTTTGAACCCAAAAATAAAATTTGAACATGAACAAAATTAAAAGAAACTATAATAAACAAAATAGTGAAAATTCCTAGAACAAACATGTTACAAAATGATAATTATATTTTAATACATAATTATAATTATAAATAATATGCTATTTAATATCGTATTAGAAAAAGGAAGCGGTAATAAAAATATAAAACTAATTATGATTGGTTTTCAGGAAGATCTAGCTAGAATACAAAACTACCTATACTTATATCAAGAAGTGATAATTATAGTTGTATTATATACCTAATGAACGCATATATAATAAGTATAAATGTATAATAAAATGTTATTATTACCTATATTAAGTGTTACTTTTGTTTTAGATACATCAATATCTGTGATTTATTGATCATATTCTATAATATGTTTATTATTAAATTTAAACAATTTTTTTTTTAGAACAGACAAGAATATATTTACAATCTGTAATAAAGTTTATTTAATACGTAATATGAAGGGTGCAAGAATACAGGACTATACGGCAATACGGCATGATAGAAGAGAGGGGGTCCTCTTGTCATATATTTCTAGTTTTTATTTAAATTTTAAAATTCAAATTGTTGTGTGTTGTTTTATTTAATTTAATTTTTTTAATGTTGAGGAGGTCCCTGACAATTTCATTTAAGACGGCTTGGTGGTATTAGGAAGTGTGAGAGAGGAGAGGTTTGAAATTATGGAATTTTATTGGTTGAATGTGTTTTTTGTGAAATGGTTTATAATAGTGGGACGCCAGACTAATGGTTGGGATTTTAAGGTCAGAGTTAAGGGAGAGATTGCTGAAGTACAATTGTGCTTTTGTAATGATACGAAAGCAAATCGTCTGGAATAATTAGAATATTTTATAATTTGTTGTTTTGGCCGTACCCCATAGCTGAATTCCGTAAGTCATAGATGGGTGGATAATTTACTACCTAGTAGATTAAAAGTTTGATATTGAGTGGAATTTTTGATTTGAGAAGGTGTCTAAGTTTGTGGAGTTTAATGTTAACGTTAAGCGACTTTTTCTTAGTTTTTATATGAGTGGCCAATGCAAGTTTGGTGTCTAGGTGCCCGGTAGGTGGACTCCAAGTTATCGAGTTACTTTTTTGAGCGAATAATATCGTTATTAAGTCATGGGGGGACAGCGAGAACTGAACGTATGGAGCAAGTTATTTATGCTTATTTGTTCGGATTCATTTTAACCCTCCACAGGTTAAAACTTCAACAATAAAAGTTTAAACTGTAATTTATTCTTTTTAATATCTTTAAAACTGCATAATATTAACTTACCTATTAATAAAATTAATAAAATGTTTGTTAAATAATACAATTTAAATAATAATACAATCTCAAATACCATAAAAATCAATAACATTTATAATAGTTGTTTTGGCGTTTTAGTGCAATTATATTATATATAGATGCGTAGTTTAATTTACTCAATTAATTGTAACTTCGAGAATAGTTGTGGATGATTAGTTGAATAATTTTTATAAATTGTCACTTTATATGGAAGCAATATATATATATAAATATAAGTATATAATAAAATGTATTAGATAATGTGCGACTTATTAATTAAAGTATTATTATCCAACCAGAGGTCCGGAGAACCTCGAGTTTGATCACTGGAGCCGGTAGGCGAAGGGAGCCAGACGAGCCACTATACTTGTACAGGGCAAAGACCCTCACAAGTTCGCCATACAAATTTATTTTGATATCTCCCCTCATGAAACATTCTCAATTGCGCCACTGCGCCTAAACGAAGGTCTAATTTTTGAGGTAGAAAAACTTTCAGCTTGTCTATACGTGTGGTGAAAAATCACCCAGACTGGGTGGCGGTGCAGTAGAAATAGGAGGAGATGATGGCGGTGGGGGGCTTTTCGGCGGTTTGAGTGTGTGCGGGTGGCATCATGTCTTCGCCGTATACGTCATATTGCACTGCATTATAAAATATATATATATTATTATGACGTGTATTATAGTCGAACAGTCCGACGGCAGAACAAATCAGTAGTCTGAGAGGAGTGAGGAGGAGGAGGCGGCGGCGGCGATTGCTGTTGCGGCGGTCGAAAAAGGGACCCCGCCACAGCTATGAGAGTTTTGCTCGGCGGCGGTGATTGTGGTTGCGAAACAGGCCGCACATATTATACCTATATAGTTTTATCATATATTATATTATACGAAATACGCACACGTTGGCATCGGTTTCACGGACCGTTTGTGCCGGTATATCGGTCGCCTGGCTGTCTGGCAGCGACCGTCTGCGCACGCACAACACGTTATACATCATATAAATATATAATATATCATACTATATGTGTTTATTACGATAATAACATGACCCACAACACGCACGTACGTGCGCCCGTAATATAATATTGAAATATGTTGTTATGCGAATGTGGTGCGCGGTCGAGAGTATAATATATGGGAGGCGAAACGGGAAAATATTATCCTCTATTATAAGCAGCGACGTTGACGGGCCTGGTGAGTTTGATGGGAGGAGGGTTGGTGAGCGAAGGGGGCGGCGAAATTAAAACGAAATCGACAGAAATATAATATTTATATATATCGCATTATTATTATAACATGTGTGTCTCTGTGTGTGTGTGTGTGTGTGTGTGTGTGTGTGTGTGTGTGCGCTTGTGTGCTTGTGTGCGCACGCGCGTGTGCTGTATTACCTCCCAACTGAAGTAACTGTATATATGTAGGTGTAAAAATAAACGCGGGGGCGGTACGGCGGCGGTATGCTCATAAAAACCATTTTTTCATCGCCACACCGCACCACAGACAATATAAAATATAAAAAACACTAAAAATGGGATTTTAATTTCTAGCGCTTCGTTTATCACCATAGAAACGAATAAAAAATAATAATATTATATAATATTAGTTCAAATTATTTATCGCTCCGCTCAGAATTTAATATAGGCAACTTAGGTCATTGGGTGGTTTTTAACGGTGGGGAAGGGTACTGTAGGTTTAAACACGTGTGTTTCTTAGTTTGGCAGATATTTTAGTGGGCACCCGTAGGTATCTGCCATGCCCCGGTCATAGGCGGACATTTGGTTGAATTTTTAGGGGGGCTATAATAATCCAATGTAAAGTGACCCGCAGGGGCTTCGCCCCCGCACCCCCTTCCCTTGCACAAGTGTAATATATTACTAATACAAATATGAATAATATGTTTAAGTTGTAATTAAAATAAACAACACTTAATAGTTAATATTTTATTTAATTTTAATAACAAATACCTATTTTTATCAGCAAATATATTCAAAATATCATTGCTATTTATATTTTAGGACATATCTTTTTCAATATTATATAGAATAGAAAGATCGCTGAACCTATCCTAAAGCATGGATGTCCTTAGCCAAGTTTTTATTTTTCTCATTGCACTGAAACTTCTTTCGCAAGTAGCCGAACTGATAGGTATTGTTAATGCTATGGTAAATAGTTTTTGCAAATTAGGGAATATGGTTTTATTTTCTGACAAAACTCTTATAACATCTTCTATATTAAAATAACGTCACAACGACAACGGTCGTGATCCCGCGAGCCGACGCTCGACATATCGATAAGAAGTGATAACACGTCGTCTATCGAATATGCTCGTGACCGCATGGTAAATTGAATCGGTCATTTCGAAAAGGCCATTTCTCCACACATTTTCAAAACTAGTTTTATGTGATAGATGTGTTAACTAATAATAATGCATAACAAAACGATAACATAATTATGAAAACAACGAATGACATTTCAAATTAAGTTTCAATTTTTGGGGGCTATTAAAATATTTAGAGGGGCTAAGCCCCCCTAAGCCCCCCCCCGATGTCCGCCTATGGCCCCGGTGTTGGATGGCCCGATGGCCGCAATTCTCTTCGGACACCGTGACTTGCCCAAAGAAAATGCAGCCCGCAGCCGAGATTTTGAACCGGCGTCGGTGCGCGTCGCAACCGATGCCTTAGTCCATTCAGCCACTCCGTTCCCCAAAAACTATAATATTATTAACGGGGTATCGGTGTACATAGCCATATTAGTTATTTCAGTTATAAGTTGTAAGTATATATTATTATTATAAGTGATGAAAAAAAATAATAATAATATCAATATTAATCCATACACTTTTCTTTATTAATGTAAAACATAAATAACATAATGACTATAATCTAAAAATTTTTTTTCAACCCGACGATCTAGGCCAACTATCGAGTAGAAACGCTGGTTTTGGATATCAGGGAATGTCAGGCTTATAGACATTAGACATACTGCACTAAGGACGACGAGAGGACATTTTTCGGAGGACTGTCGGACCAGGACACCTGGCGGCCACCGAGCCACCACAGCAGGGGTTCTCATCGGGCCACGACGACGGTGCGAGGTGTACTACAACCATCGGCCGACCCAAGTTCTCTGGACGGAGCGAGAGGAGGATGCTCTGGTGCTCGACGGCGATTGCTATGGCATGCAGCGACGGCAGCAGCCTGCACCGGATCGGGATCGGGAAAGCAGAGGACGAGTCAGGTAATCAGCCTTTGCCGGAGGACCACCACCAAGGAAGTGCTGCCCGCCTCTGCGAAACCGGCCCTTGTATTTGTTCTGGGGTCCTGCAGGCGGTCAGCCGGGTGGTTCGGACTAGAAAGCTTCTTGCTACAGATCGAGGTGCAGTCCATGCGTGTCGGACACGGTGATGGTGACACGAGGAGGAGGAGGAACTTTTGGACTTGACGGTGAAACTGATGGAGGTAAGAAATGGCTTCAAGAATTCCGGCAAGCATATCATTTGGAAGCTCGCCGGTCAATCGTAGGTATGCTGAAATTGTAATTTTACGAAAAATTATTAACAACTTTAACGATTTTTTGACATATTGTTATATGGTATATTAAATAATAAACCGTAACACTCTTAGTTCATAAATACTATAGGTATGCTTATAACTTACGTTATAATGTAATATGTTGTCATTCTGTTTGGTTATTGTTGGTATAGGTAATATTTGATTTGGAATTGGACACGGGTTATCCGGTTAGGCTGATCTATATGGGCCGGCTTTTGCTGTGATGTATAAATGTTTTGTGGTCTTTTATTTCCGCGCTTCTCTCTAATATATTTGATAGGAAACTTTATTGTTTTCAATCTTAAAAGTATTCTATATCATCATATTATATGTATAAGATTAATTGTAGCTACTTACCATATATGAGTGCCTCCATTGAACATCTAGAAAAAAAAATATAAATATAATAAATTGTTGTATTATTGATTAGCATTTAAAACGTGATTTGTGATTTATGTCTCCCGTGATGATAAAAGTGTTGATAACTCATAATATGTCTAATAAAGTTTCTAATAAATGGTCGTTTAAAATATGTACTTGCCAATAGACGCTAATAATACGACATATACTTGATACTTATTAGGTATCAATGGTATATCATTAACCTTGTACTGTGATTTTTAATTGTGACATTTTGTATTACTAAGCAACTATATAGTGTATATAAATATATAATAATATATTACATAATATTATACATAATTTATGTAAGAACAGCAATATAAATTTATCGAACACGTATATGATGGTATAGGTAGGTACATACTCCGATCCTCATATAGTACATTTTGTTTATTGTAACGGGTTTTGACTTCATAATATTATTATTTATTGCTAAATCAAAAGGATTTGATAATGTCTGAATCGCCGAATTTGAAAGAGTCTTTTCAGTCGTTCGTTCCGGCAAATTATTCCTCTGCAATAGATAGTGAACAATTAAGCGTCCATAGCGAGAGAAGCTTATTATCATCTGTGAAAAATATCGATTCCAAATTGACCGAACAGTCGTTACCAAAAAACGTTACAGATGACTTCAAAACTAACAGCACGGTTAGTGATAGTGTATTATTAGCGAAAAAGCACATTCGACACGAATATCCATTGACAAAATGGTCTAAACGTCAGATGGCTGCTAAAATTCGTACGGAACGTGATAGTAAATTTGAAAATATTAAAAGGATTAACGAGAAAATTACGCGTGGCGCCGAAGTCATAAAAGTACATATAATATGTGTGCATTATATGATTGCAGATCTTTATTGTGATTGAGCATAATATATTATATATATTTATTTTATTTTAGAACCCTTTTAGAAAAACACACGTTGACAAATTAGAAAACCTTAAAAAATTAAACAACTACCAATTGTACCACGACCAAAGTTCTATTTAGTATGCTCTTATATGGTTTTCAATGCTTTAAACGCATATTTACTAGGTCACTACAATGTTTATCCATAATATTTATTTTATTTTATTTAGTAGCAATGACATGCAAAGTACATCCCTTAATACCAGGATAGGAGCACTTGAATTGAATTTAAAAAAAATTCAAGACGAGTTGATAATAGCAAAAAATAGACTCGGTGATGATGCGAAAGAACGCTCGAATATAGTCGAAGATCATGATACTAATAACGAATCTGATGGAAAATCCATTTATACGAATATCGACACAAACGACGAACCGGTCGAAAAAGATCGTGTGTCAAATCCAGTGAGACGATAATATTAAGGGGCCTCGCTACGGTCATTATTTAAGGGGCAACATTTAGGCAATTTCTAATCTTGTCATAGGCGCCCGGGATCTATGTGTTAGTTGTAAATGATTATTATTTATTAGTGTGAGTGAAATTAAATGCAGGTATCCTCTCTCGTACGTGCATGCACACGTCAATACATCGATAACCATATCAATTTCTCTATACGAATTTTAGAAAAACATACATTTGTTTTGACAAAATTAAAGTTAGTTAACGTTGTGTGATTTTGATTCTGAAAAAATATTTAAATTGAGCAGAAAAATGTCTGTAGATCGTACGAAACATTTTCCGTTTTTAATATTAATTTTAATTTTATTTATGATTCGAAAAAGTTGATATTTTCAAGTTTTTCAATTACAGTTCACAATACTATACAATTTAGTTTTTACAAAGTGATTGGTAGGATCTATAGACAGTTTTCTGGTGAGTTCAAATTTTTTTTCAGCTAAAATTGACGGCAGTAGCGAGAATACCCCTTAATAGAAAACGTTATAAAATATATCAATAGAAAACACAATATTATGATCTATAAATTGTTTTATACAACTTTGGAATTATTTTTTAAGAACAATTGTATTACATTGTATTATGCATGTTTAGACGGAATCCACATTAGATCTAGTAGATGACAACACGAAAAGTATAGTTGACTGTTCCTTGAACGAGCATGTTTTGGAGACGGTTTCAAATTTGGAGACTAGATTAACATTCTGTCCAAATCCTATTGAGTTTAAAGTTAGTTATAAATATTAAATACCACAACTCACAAGTGTGTTTTTAATTTGAAACGTATTATTTTGTGTGGCTTTTTATAATGATTGAAGGTGATGAAAAGGTACTCAAATGACGACATAATGGAAGGTATTATTTTGGAACAACAGATTAAAGTTACCAACCGTAGTAAAAATACTATATCGTGTCTGTATAGCCATTTGTTCGATCCAAACTCGGTACTGCAAGACGACATGAATACCATAAAAGTATGATGTAACGTTTTATTTGGTTGAACGGCTAAAATGAAATTGTTTTATCATCGGTTAGGTGATACCAGGTATTTGGTGTCGTGTTCAGCCAGCTACAACGTTCGTTTACTCGGTGACATTAAAACCGACGGCATTACCCGATTTCAAAACCTACCAGAGTTTATATGGAGTGAAGCTAGTGTTTGAAACTGTGACAAATAACCAACCGGATATCAAATACGTGTTGACTATTCCAGTCAAGTTTTGTATGATTAAACCAGAACCAGAGTTGGTAACCAAAACGATAACGTACGAAAATATATTATATAAAATTATGTATTATAAAATAATATTATATTAACTAATAATAATATTCCATATTCGATTATTAACTGCACGTGCTCTTTGAATATTTGAAATTGTTTCAGTTTCCCGGCTGTACGCAATTCTTTCAAAAATTCTAGTTCCAAACAATATCTAATCATAAAAAATAATGGTGATGCCGCCTGTGTTTTTAGCGTTCTTACAGAGACCGAGTTTAAAAAAAAACGAAACATCAGTGAATATACCAATAATGATAATAATAATATTAATAATAATTTCACAAAACAATATTTTGTGATGATCAAATTGTACGTCATTAAAATTTAAGAATTTTAATAATAATTAATTGAAACTAACTAGGGATTGAACAAAAAAACAGTTGAACTACACATAATATTTGATACCGCCGATGAAATAATATTGATATTGATTATTTTTAATTGCTCTTAAAACAATTTCATTATCATATGCAGTAGAAAATTTGTCTAATATCTGACTCATTTAGAATTTAAATTCTTTTTCCAGGTTTCTACTTAGACTTTGACTTAAATGAAACGGAAACAGACGATAACGGCATAATACCCGGTACTGTTATTAATTATGTTATTCATAAGATGTTCAGTTACTTTATGTGGAGACATCATATTAACGTGTTATTACCAGCGAAAAGTTCTGTTAGAGTACCAGTTATATTCAACCGAACCTTTGCCCATTCGTCTGTCACTGAATGTTACATAATTGCATTTGATAGTACTGAGTATACGATTCCACATCAGGTAGGATAAGCCGAATGACTCTTAACAGAGACTTTGGCTTAGGTTATAATCTGACTTTTAGTGTCTTCTCGAGATACCGCGTATACATTACCTATACACATAAATATAATTTACAGACGGCTTCACATGGAGTTACAGTTTTTTCTCGTTTCAGAAGGTGAACGTTATCGGTCGGGTCATAGATCAACAAATTTTCGTAGATCCCAGCGTGATCGACGTCGGTCTGTGCTACTTAACGAGTTCCGTGCAGGTGGCCAGCTTTCAGTTGCGCAACACCAGTAGGGTGGTAGTGCCGTACGAAATCAAACTGCCGCGGGAACTGACCAAACACGCAGAGCTCAGCCATTCGAAAGGATACCTCAAAGCTGGGTCTTCGATGGAAATATTCATTCGGCTGCGTTTAAAGTGCCTATATATAATATTCGAATCATTATATTTTGTTTTAAGCGCACGCAATACGCGTGTCGTTATACCTATAACGTCGGCGATTACAATCATTTTTAAGGTACGACCTGTTGCGGCCGGACGAATGCAAAACGTATTTCGACTCAAAAAGCGGTGTCCTGGATTTCCCGGTCCGAGTTTATCCGTCAAACTGTAAGAAATTTAACGAGGTACGCGTCTTGGCGGTGGTGACCACGTCGTTTGGTCTGAAACTAACCCCCGATACATTAGATTTTGGTACGGTCAATACGGCGGAAACTGTCGTTCGGGATGTCATGTTGGCCAACCATTCAAGAACCAAAATGGAATACGGATTCTTGAAACTACCGGAGGTAATATACGATGTTAACGATTAAAAAATAACTATAAAAGCGGCGAAAAACATTTAACTCGTTTAAACAATTTTTAGAGAATTACTGTACGTCCTAGTGCATTCGGCACTATATTTTCTGGCGAGCAAATTTGTCTGCAATTGCACTATAGCCCTGCAGCAAGCGACTTGCCGCAAAACGTCCATGCTTACGATGACGATTTTGTATTGACATGTGATACAGTTACCGGTGTCAACGCAGAAATATGTCCTTTTCAAAACGATGCATCCACACAAGTGAGGCAATTGAGCTGAACATAATAATATTATATTATGTTAATATGTGTACAGTATATTTAATTCAATTTAAAGTTACGGTATGAAATCATAATGGCTCCTTGAAAGTTATTTTGATTTTGTAACTAAAAATAATTTAATAATTTATGTTAGGTAATAGTATGAATACCAATACCTATATACAGTAATTAGTGAATTAGCTAAATTATGTGTTAATACCTACCTATATTTGCATGTTAACTTCACAAGAAAAAGTTGAATTTCGTTGTAATTAATATTTTTGGATTCTGAGTGGAACGATAAATGTATTGGTTTTACAATGATGTGTGTTTTTTTTTATTATTTTTTTTTTTTGTCTGTCATCACGGTTTAGGGCAGTAAAACCGCTTCGATTTTCAACTTCAGTATCTTGTTCGATTGGAATATGAATATCGTTGGTGCATTGGGGAGGTCAACATTTAAAATTAACAGTTATTTTCAAAAGAGCTAAGAAAAACAAAAGAAAAATTAAGGAAAAACGGGAATTTTTAAGGTTTTTCATAAATTGAATTTGGTTTTTGGTGTAACTTTAAAACAAGTGACCGTAGATACATGAAATTTTCACTGGTTGTTTATATTTGCATTTTCTTTACACCGTAACATTTTCAAGGCTCCTAGTATATTGTTTCAAAGGCAGATGAAAAATATTAAAAATCCTTAGTCACAGTTTTTTTTTTATAAGCATTTAAAAATTGACAAAATACGTAAAAATGACGAAAATTTGCAAATTATTTCGAGTTTGAAATTCATAAAAATTTTTCTTTTAAAATCTAAGATATGAAAATGTTATACAAGATTACTGATAATTTGTATACCTTTATCAAAAAAAAAAAAATGTCTATTAGAAGGTCAAATTAAATTTTTATGAGCGTTTGAAATTCAAATTTTTACAACATTGGATATTCACTCGATTTCTCATGTAGCGATTTCCTTATTTTGTTGTAAATCAAAAATGAATAACTGTAGATACATGAAAATTTCACTGAATGTTTATATTAGAATTTCCTATACACCAAACAATTTTGAAAATATTTTGACTCTTTTTGAGCTGTGGCAATTTTAAGTTTTTTTTAGTTTTTTTAGTTTTTTTTTCTATAAATATCAATAAAGTTTTATCTGTTGGGCCAAAATGTGTAAAAATTTAATACAAGGCTCCTGATATACTGTTACAATATCAGTTGAAAAATATTAAAAATACATAGGCACAATTTTTTTTTTATAAGCATTTAAAGATTGAATTTTGACAAAATTTATCAAATTGAAAATTGAATAACTATTTTGTAGTTAAAAATTTATAAAATGTTCAACTTTTATTTCTAAGGATTGAAAATTTAAAAAAAGATTCCACGTGAGTAGTTAATTCTATTACACAAAAAATCTAAAAAATACATAAGCAAATTTTATTTTTATAGTCATTTTAATTTCAAATTTGGACGAAATTACATAATAAAAAACCTAGAATAACTATTTTAGTTATTTTGTTGTGATTGCATAATATTATTCGTTTGTACTTGAAACTTCTAAAGTACACTATTATATATCTATGATAGTATCAATATCAGGGTTTGTTGTTGATGTATAACGCGTTATAAGTACCTAATGGATATTGTGATATGATTAATTTGGAATTTATTATAGGTACCTACTTATTATAGGTCAACTTTTTTTAATACCATAGATAAGTATATAATATGTCTTATACCTAGACTGACATACCGTCTCCGCTCAGAATCGTTTTTCTTATACAATGATATTAAACCATTGAATTCAAATTTAATACCATCCATTATACAGTGACCCACTTGTAACCTACTGTACAGCAGAGCACCTTTTTTTTTTAGATTAATGAAACGATTAATGAACAAAATATGTCAAATACAATTATCAATCAAAATTCAACAGTCAGCGAAAACGAGATAATAGAATTAAATCACGGACCAGATAAGTTAATAATATTAAGTGTGCTTTGATTTTCGACATATTTAGACTTAAATTGTTGCGACACAGGATACTCGTTTCGATATTGAAAGACGAAGTTGAAGTATGTTCATTCGACGAAAATGCTATCCTAAAACAGGCGACTGTAAGATGCCTTGCAAAAATTCATGATGTACCAGTAGAACTTTCCGTCCAAAAAATCATATTTGGAAAAACTCATTTCACGTCCTACTCGGTTTTTAAAATTGATTTGAGGTAAGTAATTCAGGAATTGTATAGTGTATTGTGTATACTAGGATACATATTATAGTCTATACAACATGTTCGTGATATTAATTTTGAGATTGTAATTTATAATCATATAATACAATTTAAGAGCATCGAATTTGGCATCTATAACCGAACGCAACATTAATTCATTACCGGATTTCAAAATTAGATTTGAGTTCGTCTCGAATGATTCTACAGTAGAGTTTAAGCCAAAGAACGGAATACTACATTCAAAAGAAGTTGATAAATTTATATACATTTGTTTTTTGGATTTGTTATGACTATTATTTTATATTTAGACCATTACTATTAGTGTGGTATTTAGACCAAAGATTGATAATGAGATCCAAAGTGGTTTTGAAGAGTGCCTAAATTCTGAAGTAATACAAATCATAGCCGATCAAATTGTAGAGGATAAGAATTCTTTCATAAATCAAGTTGGTACAAATAAACGAATTTATTTGTTCTTAAATTACCTATGTATAATATGTACGTTCACGGTGTACATTTAATAATTGGTACCTACATTCAACAGGTTTACACGACCAATCCATTTCTTCAAGAGCAAATCAAAGTATTTGAAGCCAACAATGTATTTTATTCATTGATAGATGATACAACAAAAATAATTTCTGCTGCATGCTTTATACAATTCATCAATCTGAAATCAAAAGAATATTTTGGGTATTGTATTAGTTGAAATAATATCAAAAATTTAAATAACTGATAATTATTTATTAACACCTAACTATAAGTATTCCATTATTGTTACTCGCTGTTGGTCTGTTACATAATATATTAATACCTATAAAACAATATAAGTACCTACATCGTAGGTACATAATATTTTTTAAATTAAAAATGAATACATATTATGTTAGGAAACATGTCATTTAAAATATAATAACATAACAAGTGGGTACTAATAATGATTATTGACAATAATTATAATATATATTACAAAATGAGAATAATACTTAAAGTTATTATCTATAATTTATGATAATTTATTTTTGCATATGATTCATAATAGTCAATAAAAATAATCTTCCAAGTTAATTTTTTGTTTTTCAAAAACTAATTTTATATAAGGAGATAGTTTGATGATGTACCTAGGTACGTCTTATTATACAACAACATTTTTACAAAAATATGTACTTTTTTATAAGTATTTTTAATATTTTAAATTTCATAATTAACATGTTGTTAATTTGATCATCATGTTGTACATAATTGGATATTGAACAAATAGTACTTGATAACTGATAAGTAAGCATTTTAAATTTAGATAAGTTGAACAGTTGCCATTTTACTATTTTCATGTAGGTACTAGGTAGGAAGTAGGTACCTACTTTAAATATATAAAAAGTATTTAACTATACTTATTCGTCGATATTTTTAGACTTGAGTTTTAAAGTCATTAAAAAGAGCTTATAAGGAAACGTAAACAATATTATTTTTCTTCGAAATAAAAATAATATATATTGTTGTGAAAAGTTACCTGCCAATTATTTATTATTCAAATTGAATAAAAAATCATTCTTTTAAACATAAAAATTTTATAAGTAATAAATTACTATAATCAGTGTAGCCTGTATAGTGTCAAGGTGGATCGATTTCCTGGATTAGGTATGTCATGATTAATATAATATTATTATGAACTGCAATATAATAATATGTGACGGATTATCACGTGTCTCGAGTAGTGTTATTATATTGTTGTGCAATGCAGAATATTAATGAAGTCTAAAATAAATAACTGTTTATTAAAATATATTATTGTTCAAAATTTCGTTCGTTCCTAGTCCGTCCTGCCACTAATCGTGGCAGCCTACAATCTACCATCTTATATTAATTAAGGCAATCTTATGGCTCAATAGAAACACTACTATAATACCTAAGATATATTAATATTATTATTAGTATATAAGTCACTGTCATGTTATAATATTATAGATTCTGTACGGAATCGTTGAAGCTGATTCTCGTGTGTCCGACCACGAAACCGAACATCATCTTGTTAAGCGATCGAATAGATTTTGGCGAACGGTCCATAGACGTCCGTCACAACGAATGGCTGTTCGTAAGGAACGTGACAACGCGCCCTGTGCCGTTGAAGGTTTCGCCGCCGAGCCCGGTCGGACCTTTTTTCTGCGCATTCGTAATCATAAATTATTATTATCCATTAAATTATGTCGATGTATCGACATATTGTATGCTATCAAATTGATGATAGACGGAGGGTAATTTTTTTTTCTATTATTATTATCTCATTAGTCTCTGAACGGCGAACAGCTATTATATCCCGACCGCACGATTGCGATCAACATTTCATTCATACCCGAACACGAGGCGGCGGTGAGTATACTGCGAGCGACTTTAGTTCCGCACTGTATGATAATATTATTAATTATTATTGTTAGCGGAAATACTTTGTATACACTTCTCATAATATAATAATGTTTTAATGTCTGGAGGAGGTTAGTTTAAAATTATACGAATACAAATTACAATATTATTACGTATTTCCACTTTCAACATAATAATATATATGTACAAACAACGGTGTATCATGAAGATACGCCATAATCAAATTTCAAATGTGAAATCTTCAGATGTTCTTGATACGGCCTGTACATAATATAGTTATACACTAAACCGTATACGTCCGCCCTTAAAATCCGTTGCATTTCACAAATTTCCCGTGTGCCTAAAACATACATATTTGTGTCCGCAAAAAGGTAAACGAAATGTTGGAGTTGAGTTCCGAAACGATGCGGTTACAGGTCATGGTGTCCGGTAGCGGTCTCGGGCCGTCGTGCACAATCACACCCGACGACATGTTCAACGTAATACAAACTATGCGAAAACACGCGACCAAAGCGTTTATTTTTCGGGTAATAACTAATAATCATTTATGGTTTGCATGCATTGAAAATGTCATCCCCCTCCCCCCCCTAAAAACATGACCAAATTATGCAACCAAATCGAACATAATATAACAACTTTACTGTAATATAATAGATATAATGATGAAAAAAAAATCAAAAAGTCAATATTATATAATATATGTTATAGATTTATTTGGACAATCTATAATTATTATTTAATATTCTTATAAATTCAAATAAATTCAAAATTGTCAACCAATGTTATTATAATAATATATAGCATACGTATAGGTGACAAACACCAGTGGAACGAACGTGCGGTTCAACGTGCAAATGGAATGGACAAGGGAGCTGTCGGAGCCGATGGTCGACGACGAAGTGTTCGAGTTCATAGAAACGCTCAGAACGGTGGAGGGATCAGGCCCGGAGCAACGTGCGACAATGGCGTCGTCGTTTGAAGGAGCGGAATGGGCCGAGGAATCTGCCGTCGCCGGTGAAGGTGCGTTTGACCTGGGAAACGGTGGCCGGCCACTGTGGTTTCGTTTGGATCCGACAGAGTCGAGGTACGTTCAGGTGACTTTCAACCGACAACTAGACAAAGATAAAGACGGCAACAGCGACGAGGAGTCGTTACAGTCACCGGACGGAAGTGAAGAGGAGTCGATCAAATCACCAGACGACGGTTTTGGGACGGAGTCAGCCGAACCAGGCCGACGAACCGACGGCGTTAAGAATCGTAACGATGACGGTCGAACAGCCACTGACAAGCGTCGTGTCTACGTAGCAAAGTTCAACGTGCATGTAGGCCATTTGGTGCTCAGACAGTTCTACGTGTTTGGTTTCGTAGAAGTAGATATAACAGTGGACTCATAAAGTCAATTGCGATAAGTGTTATTGTTTTTATTGGTGTAGTACAATATTAGACAATTATATTCATAGGTACGCTATGTATTCTGTCATCGAGCTTATTAGACACAGTGGTACTATGGCCTAACCTAAGCCAGAAGTTCTGACTCAGAAACTGATTATAACGTGAAGTACCCTGCAGACTTCTACGTCATATTTCAGCAAACGTAAACTGAATGAAACAAATTGCCTGTAAATGTTATAATATGTAATGAAATAATTGTTTATTTGTTTTTAAGTACCTATAAGTCTTAAATTATGGGTTTGTCATTTTTTCGAATAATAATAACGACGTTACTTTAATATAAAAAAAAACTGATAAGAAATTCCGATATCAAAGCAAGTAGAAGCGTTTAAATAACTATATAACGATTTAAAGAAATTTAAAACAACTGAAATCACTTTAAGTTAGGTTGGGTAAATAGGTATTAGTTTTATCCTTTTTAGGTTATTCGTTATGTCTGTGGTGACCATCCATTTTCATGATGCTATTTCAGTATACAAGAAGGGTCGATTCGTGGTAGAGCTAGTACAATGCCACATTAGTCTGAAGATAATACATACCCACATTGTTTTCGTGCCATAACTTTTGTCATTTTGGAATCTCCTGCAAAGGCAAGGACCGGTCACTGGTAAGACCTCTGCATGACATGCGGACAAGCTGGGCATAAGGCCAAGCAGTGGCGGATCTAGGATTTTTTTATGGGGGGTGCTTAGGTTAAGGTATAATATTGTATTCTGTATACTACATCCTGATGGCATGACATTTTTCTAGTCCTAATTGGCAATTGCACATAAAGCACATTGCTGAATATTTAAAAGGATAAAGATAAGTGACAACTTTAAAAGTACATCTAAAACAAATACCTTTATTTAAAAAAAAATAAAACATAAAAATGTAAACAAGAAATTTAAATTATATCACATCCACTTATTGTATTTTTTATTTCTTAATAATTGATTGACAAAAAACAAATTAAAATGATTAGGACATTTTGACCAATCTTCTAATTCCATCCTCCTTTTTTTTTTCCAAGCGAAGGTGTCAACTACTTAAGATATCTATAATTTTTAAATGTATAATAACAAAGTATTAAAGTCAGTGGCGTGTATAGGCTCCCTAGGCCAGAGCCCATAGTTAAATTGCAGGTTCAATTAAACCATTTCATGTATATCAAACGTGTTTATAGTTTTTCACCATGATTAATTTAACCGGTTAATTAAAATCGTTTTGAAGAATCAACAAGGAAATGTTAGATTGTCTGGACTTGCTTTGATGACTTTTGTGTTAAATTCACAATAAGATAACATTAAAATATATATTATGTATATATGAAATTGTCAATATTTTTTAAAAAAGAATTAAAAATGAATTTTACATAATAATTATAAAATTGAATTGCTCAATTTTTATTTGTATTTATAACCACCCAGCTCCTTAAAAAATGTATAGTTTTGGCTATGTTAGTCTCACTATGCTGACTAGTGATAAATTGGCCCATTGTGAAAATAATTTGTACATACGCCACTGATTAAAGTAATAGAAAAAATTATTATTTATAATAATACCGTGGATTTAAAATAGTATAATCGGTATTCGGTGATAACACTAGTGATAACTATTATTCTATTCTGTGTAACTACTAGATAATATTATCTACATCGTGGAAAATATCTATGATTTAAACAGTAAGATACTAAACCATACTATTACTTAACTTAACTCATAATATTCATGGCTGATACCCGTGACCCGTGGGTTGTATCATAAAACAATATTTATTTATAGTTGTATCGTTCCATTTTTCAGTCACTTCTGGTTATCACTTATCTCAATTGTTGAGGGAAAAATTACTTATAAAAAAAAAAAATAATATTATTTATTTTGTTACCGATTTAGTATAACGTACCCGGCCCACTGAAAAATATGTATAGTTTAATATAGTATTTGTTTTTAACCCGGTAGCAACATGCCAAGGGGGGTGCTATAGCACCCTAGCACCCCCCTCTGGATCCGCCACTGAGGCCAAGTCTTGCACCAGTCCTGTGAAATTCGTTCTGTGGATAGGAGATCGGACAGAAGGACAACCAATATACGAATATACCCCGGAAGTGCCATTTACCAGCAATATTATGAAGCAAAAAGAACATCTAGAGTAAAAAAAACTTAATAATGTATGCCGAAGGAAATCATTGTGAGGAGTAGGGGCCTCAATTATTTGTTCAATGTATCTCTATTTGAATGTAAGATTGTTTATCAATAAACGATGGTGGCTGGGGGGGGGGGGGTGAAATGACCAACGTCAGAATATTATTCCATGGTTCTAATAAGATATGTTAGATTCACATAGTACCACTTCATTCCTGGTCATTATATTAGAATAATAGTAATAATAATTATATGTCTATGATGTAGAGCAGATAAGGTACCGTGTGATGGCAGTTTGATAGTACCGAGAGAGCGTTGTAAGTAGCGACATTATTCGCTCGGAGGCCTGTTTTTCTTTTTTTTTGCATTGTAAATACGAGGAAGAGAGGATTTTCTTTGTAAAATAGTATACGATTATGAAGTTATGACTTACAACTTACAAGTGTTGTCAGGGCCGTCCCGAAAGACAAATCATGGGGGGTGGTTTGATTCATAATTTGCCAACTCAAAAAAAAAATTTTCTCGCTTCTCTCGACAATTACCTCCTACATGCAGATTACATAGTAGACAAATGTTACACAATATTAATTATTTTATTATGTTCTTACTATGTTCTTTTATTATATCAACAAAAAAATATTATAATAAACTTAACACTAAATTTATATACGTCGGTTTTTAAAATTGACCATTGATGTGCTATTTTATTTATATCCAATAGGTCAACAATATCTTTTTCTTCTCCCAATACAATTAAAGAGTTTAATCTCTCATCAGAAATTGTTGACCTAAGATGTGTTTTAATCAATTTTAGTTTACTAAAAGATCTTTCGTTTGATGCTACTGTTACAAGAGAAGTCAATGCTAAATGACAAATTTGATTAGCACATGGTAAAATATGCTTTACTTCTTCTGCTTTTTCCATTAAAGAATTAAATGGTAATGTTCTATCTTCTTGTAACATACTAAATAATATTTCTAATTCTGTTTGAACTAAATCATAATCTAGAAGGTAAGCACCTACACTGCTTGGTGGGAACAAAGAAATGAAATATTGCTTTTATTAAATGGTTGAGTAAATAATGTAAATAATGGTTGAATAGAAGAAATACATGATTTTAAATTATCATTTGTTAGTTTTAATAGGGTATCTAGAACCATTTTAAATTCTTTTCTATAAAATAGATGCATTGTGAATTCAGCTTGGGTTGTGGCATTACAATCATATCGTTTAGGAGCTAATCTTTTACGATGATGGTTTTTAAAATCAGCGCACAATTCCTTATCAGTTATCATTACAGCTATATTAAAAAGAATTCAATGATTATACGACAGAATATAATATATTATGAAATTTCATATATTCTGTGATTATTTGAATATGTATAGGCAAATTTGTATACTGTTATAAATTATAATATTATATATGATACATTGATAGGTAAAGTCTAAAATATTATAATAGTATTAACTGTGTTGGACAGTTGGCAATCGGAAAATTAACTTATAATAGCTTCATATTATTATAAATTACAATATATTATTATGATATATTTGGACTTAGTAGTATATACAAAATTATTAAAAAACTGTAAAAAAAAATTATAATTTGCCGAGTGCCAACTGCCCAACTCAAATACTTAATGTAGGTATCAATGTGCCAACTGACATATACATATTATACGCTCAGGGGGGTGGGACACCCCCTAAAACCCCCCTTCGGGACGGCCCTGAGTGTTGTAGGTACCTGACTCATTATTGTTTTATAATTTATACTTTTATGTGTTCGTTCAATCGTTGAATAGGACGTACTATTTTCAATAACTAAAACAATGAAGCGTAGGGAAAAACAATATAAAAAAAGTGAGTAAGTGGATGTCGCTCTGCTATAGAGTGGGTTACAAGAAGGTCACTGTAATGGATGGTGTTAAATTTTAATTCAATGATATAATATCATTGTATAAGAAAAACGATTCCGATAAAAAACGGTCAGTCAGACTACGATATTATTAAGTAAATTTTATGATATTATTTTGAATAAAGTAATTTATATATCATAAAATATTTACCTGAAACCTTATTTTAAATTGTCAATCCTTAGCTATAAAATTTGAATATTTTATAAATTTTTAACTACAAAATAATTATTAAATTTTTTCAAAATTCGAACTTTAAATGATTATAAAAAAAATGTGTGCCTATGTATTTTTAATATCTTTCAATTGCTATTGTAACAATATATCAGGAGCTTTGAATTAAATTTTCAAGCTTTTTGGCCAGGAAAATATTTGAAATTTTTGTTTATTGTGTTAAGCTTAAATATTCTTAATTTTACCTGATATCCTTGGATCGTATCAAACATACTAGTGATTATTTTATTATCACTATGTAGTGGCCTCTCTGCTCCCCCCTTAATCCGGGCTTGGCTATCTTAATCTCTCTATTTTCCGTTTTCTATTTTCATTTGATTTTCAACTTTTCTCTATCCTCTAGTTGATTTCACTAGGGTAGTTGTTTATAATTTTCTACAATGGTAACCTATATGATCAACTATATCTACTCACGCCTTGGATAGTATAGAAATTTGGACACCGCTTTAGCATTTGCGTAACTGTTTTCCCCTGGGCAGGGTTTATTTTTACCCTGTTAACAACTTGTTCAGATGTAGATGATAATATGCTGAAATTGGTTATATTCTCAACTGATGTTTTGAAAACAATTTTATAATCTTTGGTCAAAAAATGGCCCACAGAAATGTATCTAGGACGTGTTATATGTAAGCGTAATATATATATAGTTATATTAGAGTATATTATTTTGCAATATGATATGTATACTGGCGTACGTGACTACGGGGCCGAGCGCTCGAGCGGGAATCTGCTGATCCAGCAATTCCCACCCTAGCCGTTGTACGAAAGTGCCCCTTGGTCACGGCCGCCTCAGGCAGTCTCGAAGACACAGGCAGAACCTCATTTTATTTTATACAGAAAATCATTAGCTATAATAAGTCAATAAACATATGTTCAACCTTTAAAACAGTATATTTGCATTAATTCTTTCAAAACACGTCCCTAATCTCTAAACCAGGAATAACAGCGCTCCGGTACACACCATTTGGTGGCAGCGGGAGTCAACAACTTTATTATAAAACAAATTGTTGAAGAACCTACGTGTACTACCGCCTTTCCATATAGGTAGAGGAACGGACAATCGTCAGATCATCAAGTAATAAGAAACTCCAGAGCATCTCAGAATCAAAACTAAGAATTTACAGAGCATCAAGATTTTCAAGTACGTATATTCGTATAATATACAATACGACGTACGAACGTTGCATATAAATTGCATAAATTCAGAAACGTCAGTACCGACAACGGTAACGCTGAACGCTGCCGTCCCTGAAGCCGCCACCGCCGCCGAGAGCCGCCCAACTTCGAACGTAACCGTTGCCCAACGAGCTATGATAAAACGGCATTGGATTTAAATCGTTATCTAGTGGACCATTTTATAATTTATAATATAATACGATCATTATACATATTTTATTGTGTATAGCTTAGGTGTAACATGATGGTGATGATGATGAGGATGAGGTATGAGGTATGAGGAGGGAAGAGGCTTCAGAACTGTATTTTTTATCCTATTATTATAATAATATAATTTCTTCGTCATAATAATTGAATTAACTTATAACAAAAATCGTCTTTGAAATGCCACAATATTTTTAAATTATTCTAGAAATATGTAAGTATCTCTTATTTTTTACCTAATAATTGTTATCAACGCGGTGTCGGTCTTCGAGATAAGTCAATATTTTTTTAGCTGAAACTAGTTACAAGTTACAACCACTATTTAGACTATGTGACTGACACAGATTGTATATTTTTAGTAAAAATCAAAATATCAATAAGGTACTTACAGTTAATAGTGTTTGGATAAAAATTAAAACAAAATAAGAAAATAGTTCTTAGTATCAAGTAATCAGGTAATTAGTAGAAGACACAATTTAATAAATAATAGTAAATTTGTGCCTAATTATTCGAAAATAACAATAAATTATAGTATTTATTAGACTAAATGTAGGCTAATTGAATGCTTTGCAAGTTAGTGGTTCTGCATCATTATATCCATTTAATAACATATAAAACGTTATGTACTTATTATCACAATGACATTTATTATCACGATCGACTAAATCTATATCATTCCCTATGAATCCTTTTGAATATTTTTTGGCAAATTTACCCTATAAAATATATAAAAAATTTAAACAATTTTTATGATATTATATAGACTTCAAAGTATTACTTTTTCAAAGAAAATGCCCTGTTTATCGACACAATATATTCCTTGTAAATCACCTCGGTTTTCACAATACTGTAAACATTTATAAAAACCATTTAAATAATATTAAGTCTTAAAATTAAATTGATAGTTTTAAGTACCTATAAGGACCCAACTAATCTAAACACAATAAATTACATAAATCGATGAAAGTAAATAAACTGCATAGGTACTAAAAATGTACTCAATCACAAACTATATAAATTGTTGAATATACTGAAATTTCTGTACAATTTTTAAATCTGGGAAAATTGTATTTACTTCCCAGAAGATAACACAATTTAATGATAAGTAAAGATTAATGGCGTCGGTTGACGATGAGTGCGGTGACTTCAAAATTAGTGTTGTGTGAGAGGAGATGATAAAATACGGATACCAAATCGAAAATTGAATGTACAATAGTCAATGGATATTCGATTTTATTTGAACGAAATAATATAAATACGAATTACACACTGACACGCGGTCATTTCTAATGGTTGCACTGTCTGGTTATGCTCCTATAATGTACAAAGCACGGACTAAGATATAATGGACTGGAAACGACAAGGTGGGCGGGTGAAGGGAGAAGGCCCGCAAAGGTTCCTCGGTTATTATCAACACTCATAATTGAATGTTTTCAGCGCTACCAATGGTTTTATTTAGCGTCACATTTTGTGTGTCAGTCCGTGTTTTATATAGATGGCGCGGTAAACTCCCGCATTTGCCTCTTATACATACTTTCGAGGCCACTGATAAGCTGCTGGTTTTCAGTCCATTATATCTTAGTCCGTGGTACAAAGGAAAGCAGTGACCCGTACGCACAAGTTGCTCGACCCCGACCAAACCTTTCCATTTAACGGATAGGGGTGTGAGAGGTATTTTCGTGGTTTGTGACCCAAAGTGATCAACCACCACTATTTTTTGTTTCAAAAAAGAATATACCGACTTTGCCCATAACGACTGATGCCCAGTGACAGTCCCGAGGCCAATTTTCCACACTTTCACCAAAATGTGGTCTTGACATTGCACGAGAGTCGCCGTCCGAAGCTATCCGACAAGTAGGTATCGATTTTTTTTACAATGTCTTATTTAAAAATGTTTATTAATAAATACATTTTTAATATTTAATATTTATAAATAAATCTTATAAACACTCGGTGTATACTGGTTCAACATGATCAGTCGCTATGATAGGGCTCGTCGTGAGAGGCGGTATTTGGTGGAGAATTCGCGTCGCCGAACGTACGCCGGTCACCGCCCGAAGCCCGATATGTTCTCTTTTGTAACAGAGTATAGGAAAGTATATTACAGTGGATTCCGCTTAATGTGGCCACCGGTTAATACGGGCATCCACTTATTGTGGACAAACATGTCTGGTCCCAATACAAATGTTTTGTTTTAACTAATTTCGGTTTTAATGGGCAACCACTTAATGTGGGCAAACAGGGCTAGTCCCAACGTGCCCACATTAAGTGGAATCCACTGTATTTTATATACTAGCTGCCCCATCCAGCGTTGCCCGTACCAATGATTTGTTTTTTTTTTTATTTGAAACATTATTACGAGGCTAAAACCGTCAATATTGTTAATTCGGTGTGCATCAGTAATGCCAGTATTTTAAAATTGAAAATGTATCAAATATTCAAATCCAATCTTATATTCTTATTTATAGTATGAGCTGATCCCGTGCACTTCGTTGCCCATTAAAAATACCAACGCTATATGAATAAATGAATAATATGTTTTTTTTGAAGTTATACTTCTTTACGCAGGGTAGTGAGGAAAAAAAACGAACGCGAAAGCGTACATGTCCGTAAATAAATAAATATTGTCATGGTAATGTTGTTTTATTATATATTATAATATATATATATATATTATTTATTATAATCTTGCCATACTAATTAATATGAATAATATTAATGATCGATTATTATTTATTTATTTTTATTATTATTATTATTATTATTATTATTATTCACTTACAAATCTATTGTCTGGATAAAAACAATACTACAAACAATTATCCATCGATCTGTCGAATAAAAATATAAAAAAAATAATAAAACTATCAATAATAAATAATTCCGGATACTTCTTCTCAATTTTTAAATTAATTAATATTTTTTTCTTTCTTTTTCACTCACTCACGTGTACCATTCAAAAGAAGTTTAACTTCCCGCGCGCGTACTGGTAACACACATGGTATTTTATAATATAACGGTTACCATAACAACAATTTTAAACCAATAACTATTATTATTATAGCTTTGGAGCCCACGACAACCATTTATAAACAACAATTTCCATCGGAAATCTCAAAATCCCTGTTTGAGCAAGTCCCGGTGTTGGTCTTCTCCCCTTTTGAATTAGCCTATCTCTGTTTCAAATGATCCCATGTAGTTTCGTTACCCGGCAACAAATAATTATTATTATAATAGCTTCTAAGCCCATGGCAACCATTTATATACAAAACATTCCATCGGAAATTTCAAAATAATATATAATTGGTTGCCATGGTTATATGGACACACAATATATAGACAGACACACATACATTCATTTTTATATATTATATAGAAGAAGAAGATTATTGACGCAGTCAGATTGCCTACCAATGTGGCTGAGTTGCATTTACACCAAATACACACTTACATTTTTATTATTATGGCCAGCCAGGCAGTGTATACCCCAGTGGCGCCGAAGTTTTTAAAATGTGGTCGGGCAATTTTAAAACTTCCCGGCCTCAATATCTTAATTTTTAATATAGAGGTACCCTAATATAAATTTATTCATAATCACAGTTTAAATTTACTCATGCTTATAATAAAGTTATGATGTAAATTAAATATGGCCGGCCGGCCACATTTTTCAAAAAAGAGGTCGGGCCACGGCCCGACGTCAGCATGGACTTCGGCGCCACTGGTATACCCTATCCCACGAGAGAACATGCTGGTTCTGCGCATCACCCCGCTTTACCCTGCTAATCTAAACCGGTTCCCCTATGGCTAGGTGTAAAGTGGAAACTCGCAGAAAACCCGATTTTGGTCGGCCCGCTGCATGATCTCTCCTGAGACAGAGTATAGTAGGTGAGCATGCATAGTATATTGGTAACCAGGTATACGTATATATATATATATTATTTTATGTCGCCAGCCATTTAAATTGGCATTAGATTTATGTACCGATAAACACTATAATACGATCTCCATAGTTATTTTAAATTTAGATGTTTATACCTCGTTATACGAAAATGTACAACGGTGCATAATTGTTAATTTCTCAGGTTTCGGTATAGGTCTTATTAAAAATTCAAAATGAACTTTTTCTTTTGCAATTTTAGATTGCTCAAAAGCAGCTGCAAATTTATTCTGAAAAAAACATAATATTTTTATATTTATTTATAACTCAGGTGTTTGATACTAATCTTACTAATGTCATAACGGCTGGATCTGTTGATTCAATAGGAGTAATTCCACTATGTAAGAATTCATCCGAACATTCATTAAACGTAACAAATTCAATTACATAGAAGTCCAAAAGGTCATTCATCTTACCAAAATCAAACCCTAATACGCAAAACATAACATATTATAATAGATTTATATTTTATTGGTTATATAATAATGATATAACTGTTATAATTCAAAAATAATATTAATTATAAATTAAAACATGATTCTATTCCAGATACAACCAATCTTACTTCTACTTATTTCATTTTAATTTATTCACTTACAAGTTGAATTGAGCTTCTTATTTACACTTAGTATGAAAGTTCTAGCACTCAAATAAAACCCAATTTCCAAACCTGGAATTGTAGTTTTAATAGCTGTTACATAGTCTGTTAAGTTCTTGTAGAAGTCGACTTCAGAATTATTCTAAAGATAAATAAATTATTATTAAATAAACATAAAATCATAATATAAAACTACGAAATTATAAAATGATTTTTGAAAATATAAATTTATCAATGTATGTATTTATTATTAATTATTAACTAATGACAATATTAATTAGTACATTATACTCTATTCAGAATGAGATTGAACCGATTCGCTCATACAGACTGAGCCGTCGAACAGTGCCTGACCCCCCATGTGGTGGCTACTATATGTTTTCTGTGATTGGCCGACAGACGACAGTCATCGCTCACGCTGGCCGTCTCCGGTCGTTGAGCGCCTGTGCTAATGCTCTCGCAGATTTCCGGATTTAGGTGGGGATGCGCTGAAAACACGTGTTTTGGTTGGCCGAGTGGTTCAATCTAATTTTGAATAGAGTATAGAACTTACCGTTTGTGCTAAATATATACATACATTTATGATTTAAGAATTACAAGGTAAAAAGACCAAAACACAATACCATTTTTGGAACAGGCCCAACGTATGAATTACTTACTCATTTTTGGTTCTATGTATAACCTAGACATAGATACTGTGAAAACTGAATTATAAATAACTAAAACATTTACTGCTTATACATACCTATTTATAAAATAAAAATTGAAAAGGTATCTACATCTGACAGGTATGTTCAACTCATGCATCAGAGAAGGGAATTTCCCAAAACAATGGTAGTGAGATCAATTAATATTCTTCTGAATAGGCAAGAAGTCTGAATATGCTAGAACCAGAGATCAATGAGCTAGATGTTCAATAGATGTCCGATGATGAACTAACCCAGAAGGAAAAATATGAAAATCAGCGTCAAGAAGTAGAACTGATCAATCTAAAATATTTATTGTAAGCCGAAGTCTAAAATTAAGAAAGTTTAGCTTATTTAGCTCATTGTAAGTCAATGTCACATTGTGAACTCTGATGTCGATAAAAATGATGTGGTACGAGGAGAAGTAAATCAAATCCGATTCCTTCCCGTGTTTGCGATAAAAAATTAATTCCTCTTATATCATAGGCACAAGATCGCAAGAAGCTATATAAGTGGGTTTAGCACCCCCCCCCCCCTCAGAACATATAAACTGTATTTAGTTGTATGAGATCGAAGTTCTCGCACTCGCCTTGATGTTAAAAATGTTAGCTCTCCTCAGAGATTTTAATGAATTTGGGCTTATGATCTTATTTCATATCGATTAATCGTAATTTTCCTTGGGTACCTACTACCTAACTATTATATAGTTTGGGTAATTTTTTTTTTGTAATATTAGTCCACACATGTTATGTGAATAGTATGTAAGTACCTAGGTACTCTCGAATTGCCTCCCATCTGACCCTTTAAAAATCACTAACCCAAATACATTATGATAAATTTTTCAAATACATTACAATTTTTGCAAAATAGATCAAACGAAAACTTAGTTATATTTTATTATTATTACAACTAATTAGTCAGGGAAATATTGTATGTCTTAAAAATGTTATTTTTGAACATTATAAAAATCGATTTAATAATTGATAGCTGAAGTAAAACTATCGATAAATTAATTAATAATCTAGGCATGATATAAATTGTTTATATCATTAATCTAGGTATGCTATAGGAGGCAATTCGGGTCCAAAAAGGCCACCTACTTAAATGTGGTAGGCAATTCGAGTGTCACCAAGTACCTATAGGTAGGTACGCTTGAAAGGTCTACGGCAACATAATGAAAAATATTTTTTTTTGCATATTTATTTGTGCCATAGTAGTAAGTTCACTCCCCCCCTTTCATTAAAGTTTAGTCAAAACGACTACTGAATCTAAAATACTAAATCAAATATTTTTTTCAAAATGTATCACAATTTTATCAGTGATAAAGTCTATGATTCTACTTAGTTAAAATAAATCTATTATAAATGTACATTTAATAGGTATACTTATATTATATAAGTTATATACAATTATCCGTAATAATTTACTGTACATTTAAAGCAGGATATTCCATATCATCCAATATCAACCCCTTTACAGGATATCGACCAGTAAATTCTTGTATTTTTTGTGCTTCTGTTTTAAAATGTCCAAAAAAAAGTGCGTTTGCCCAATCTTCTAAGTTTGGATGTCTATAAAATACGTACACATTGTGTGTACCCTCCTCAAAGTCTATAAGTGATTTTAAGTGGTCTGTAAAAAAATATATACTTTTAATTACCTAGGATCATAATTTGATTGTTTATTTTTCTATTAGTTATACCGTTGGAACAAGTTACACTTATTTTTGCTTAAAACTAATGACACTATATTACTGTGTTTTATAGCATCTACTTATTATAATATTACATCATGAAATTATATATATATATTTTTTATATACTTTAAAAATATTTTCATGGTGGTATGAAACTTTTACTTATAAATTATAATATTAAATTGTATATAGGTGCCCAATGCCTTTTCAAAACATTCTGACTCAGTTTATAGCATAATTTTCTAATTTATTCCGCGGTTTGTTTGTGGGTCCTGTCAATTTTTTGTAAATTATACAATCTTTATATGAAGCTGTATGTGCACCAGAGCATAGTGCACATCTAGCTGGGGGATATTATAAGATATTAGTCCGTGATATTGACATAATATTCCGATTGATAAATATTATATTATGGTAACATGACTAATGAACCTTATGTACTAAGGCACTAAGCTTATACTACAATAATTATTATAATAATAGATTTACTTATTTTTCAGGTAAGAGCGCAAAAAAATTTATATTCGTAACAAATCTACTTTACCGGACACTCTTTTTTTTACAAAACAACTCGTTTTTAATGCTGAATTCAAAACTGTTTGAAATAATTCCCGGAAACTTACCGTTCAAAAGTTACGGAAGTTCAAAGTTGCAGTGATTACGCGTGTATCGGCACTCGTCGCTGAGCTCCTCGGCGCCATCGCTCCGCTCCTCAAATCGAAAATATATGGAACACCACCTTAAGTGGTTATAGGGTACTCATCAAAAAAAATTATCAATATTCGAAATAGTCGTAGTAAACTAGTGTGATGCTCGATTGCTCGAATGCTTAAAAATCGCGAAATAGTAAACTTCATTAGGCCATAACTTCAAAACTAAGTCCGTGCGCCAAACTCTGACTTCACCATCGTTTTGAGCGTATTTAACTACGAATCGCGGAAAAAATGCCCACGGAAAAAAAACCCACGGAAAAAAAACCCATAGAAAAGAAATTACCAAGGAAAAATAGCCCATGGAAAAAAACCCACAGAAAAAAAGGCCCTCCGAAAAAATTAAAATTAAAAATAAATGTTAATAGTTAATACATCTATATTTATATAAATATAATATAAATATAAATTTGGAAAATAATATGAGTGTTTATCATTTGTTCAATTTTAATCTTAAATTACAATGGTTTTATACAAGGGGAATGGAATCACAATACACCCAATTATGTTTTATTTTAAAATATATAAAAGGAAGTTATAAGAAAAAATTATTTAGCTTTTGTAAATTAGGTATTTCAGTTAAAAGTATTAATGCATACTAGTGATGATCAAAACAAGACCAAGACCAAGAATTTCAAAATCTTGGGCTTGGTCTTTATTTTGCACACTCAGTATTGGTTTTGGTCTTGGTGTTGAGCAAGATTCTTGCTATTTTCACAAAATATATAAAAAAAACTAAATACCTGTTATAGCTGTGTGTAGGTTTTTTGTTATGATCTCTAAGATGAAACTTATCGATTTTGGGAAAATAAAATAATTTTTTAGTAATTGTTAATTAGTATGAACAACTATGTTATTTTGTAATATCAATTCCCATTATATTTCTAATCTTTTTTCAATAATTCGCCATTTCCTCGAACACTGGTCAAATTTCATAACAATACAAATAAATTCTTTTTATTTTCGTTATGAATTATTAGTTAATGAAATATAGATACAGTAATGTGTTTTCGGAAAAAAAAAATTTGCAAGACCGCAAGAGTCTTGCAGTGATGGTCTTGTCTTGTTCTTGCAAGCCTAATCTTGGTCTTGGACCTTGGTCTTGCAGCCAAGAGTCTTGCGAGACCGCAAGACCAAGACCAATATTGATCGTCACTAATGCATACTTTAGAAGATCATAGTTAATAACCTAGCTAACCATAATTATTGATCATTTGATTGTCAAAATGTTTAGAAAAAAAGCTTTAGCGGAATCCATATAAAACATAGTAATTACTGTTTGAAAAAATAAAGTCGATTTTATTATTTTTACAACTGCGTGTTTAAAAATGTTGAATATGTTATAAAATAAATTGCCTGTTAAAAATAAAGAAACGATTGTCTTTTTTTGTTTTAACGAAATTCCATATCATCGATCCATACCTAATTGTTAAAAAAAAAACAGCATACAATGACATAAGATACACCCTTTTTATTTTTTTATTTTTGTATAGTAAAAAATTATACAATAATATAAAGTCGTTAATATGTAATGATACAATTATTTTGAAGTTAAAGTTGAAAGGGGCCCCCTAAGTGTATGGTGTCCCGAGGCCCAATTGATCCTTAATTCGGGCTTGATTGTAATGATATCATCACTTAAGACATTTGTTAATTATTATATTTATAGTTTGAATACTATGTACTGTTTTATCACAAAATAAAATAACTATGTGATTGTATTATGATAGGTATTTGAGTTAATCAACAAAATAATATAAAACACACTTTTATTTTCGTGGGTTTTTTTTCCGTGGTCATTTTTTCCGCTTACCATTTAACTACATATGATTAAAAAAAAAAAATAGTAAAAAAAAAGGGTGTCCGGTAAAATAGAAATATACCGAGAATTTTAAAATTTGACCTCCCGAATGCACTAACTAGATTCACTTTCCCATCGAATAAGATACTGTTGAAGAAAATCGATGATGACAAACACAAAAAAAAAAATTTAAAAAAAAAAACACATCATTGTAAAATCAATACATTCATCGTTCCACTCAAAATCTAAAGTATAATTGTATCTAGATTTTTAATTATTTATTCAATAAAGAAATACCCTTTAGAAAGATGTATTTAAATCTAGGATAACTATTATTACCTATACTTATTTTAATTTTAGCTTCATTATGGATGATATAAATTGCTTGTCACACGCTTTTTTGATCGTATTTGATAAACACTTAGAGGCGGGCCTAACTAATCATTAACATTGCAAGTAATTACGATTACGGCAACGAACGGCTTATATACTTACTATGAATATATTCTTAGTTTCAACATTACATATTGCATCTAAATAATGAAAATTCTACTGAATTACTTAAATGGTATCCAAGACTACAAATTAAACGCTTCATAACTATTCAAAATTTTATTTTTAGTATACCAAATTTATTTTAAAAATTATAATGCTATATAATTAGAACTAGGTACCTATTAATATTAATAATAAATTGTTTATTACCTAAATCTTCTGGTATCGACCCATACATGATTTCATAATTTTTATTACAAACAATTCCATCAAAAACATAAGATGTGCATTCCTTTGGAAGTTTTTTCACCTTCACTACATCTTCATGACATATAAAATTTTCTTTATCAAAATTACCTGAATACCTACATGATGAATCACCAAGTCCTAAAAATACAAAAAAAAAATTAATAATATTTAATTTTATAATTTTATACAAAAGAAATCAAGCTGGGAAAAAATCGCCTATAATAGCTTCAACTATTCATACCAAAAATTTAGAAAAAGGAAATAATAAATTTAAAGAATTAGTAATTGTACATCGGCCTATACTACAGATTTCTATAGTACACTATATTTAGAACAAGCTTTTAAAGTAATAATATACTGAAATACCAAAGATGTACATATTATTTAATTATCTGTGGAAATTCGACAACCGTGAAAATGTTGAAATAATATTAAGGTGGTTACACGAGTTCTTTCTCTAGTGTATACTCTGTTCCAAATGAGATCATTGCCCAGCGGCTGAGTTGTGCGCATGGGCGTGGCTTCGTCACACGACACAACACTACTCTCCACTATAGTGGGGACGGCATCTGACCGTCGTGGAACGAAAACTGGTCGCCACCGAGTAATGATTTCATTTTTAGAACAGAGTTTAGAATAGAAGTCTATTGCCTATCACAAAATATGAATTATTGCTAAATAATGTTGCAACTATAACTTAATGGATGGTATTTTTGTTATTAATTCACTATTTCATAAATAATTGTAAATTGTATTTTAACGATTGCTATTTTTTTTTGTATTTACGCCAAGTTTTTACTAATGAAATACATATAAATTATTTTAATTCATGATTAGGCAATGAAAAACAAATCTCCAATTCTAATATAAATGATTATTGGATTGATTATTTTGGAAAATAAAACAGTGTATGTAAATTGTAAACATTGTTGTGGGTCTTTCACTTTTCCAGAACAGTTGGCGTGGGAAGTAAGCTTTACGAACAATATTTGTAATTAAAGCATACTTAAAAAAGTGGGATAAGGTCAGAAAGGTTTAGACAGTGTAGAGGAACTCAAGATATAGCGCTAAGTATCTTTAACCCCATAATTTTTCTTAAGAGGACGTGATACTCGCATGTGTTGTCTCCGTCTTACAAGTGCATAACATAGCACATTTTACGCTCAGCAAAACACGTGTAGCTCCGTTAATTTAAAAATTAGAGTAAATTAACCTCTTATGAAATCTAAAGGTAAGATTATCATCTAGACAACCTCATGGGTTTTTTTATAATATTTTAATTTTAAGCTAGTTATGAGTACTTTAAGATTTATTAACAATTTACAATTTTAAAATACTCAAAGCTCCCTTAAAAATTAAAATATAATAAAAAGCCCAGGAGGTTGTCTAGATAATAATCTTACCTTTAGATTTTATAATGGGTCAATTCACTCTAATTTTAAAACTAACGGAGTTACACGTGTTCTACTTTGCGTAGAATTTGCTATGTTACGCACTTGTAAGACGGAGACAATTGACTCGGGCAACACATGCAGGTATCACGTTCTCTTAAGCAAATGTAAATCATTAAAGTAATAAAGATGTTTTTAAATATTAAAGAAGATTGTAATCAAAGTGGAAGAAATCCTTCAAATTTATATATTTTATAATACCTACCTACGTGAAATTATTTATGGAATTGATAATGATTTCGAAAATATAATTTACATGAATTTTAGGTAGTGACACTCTTGTATTGGAATCGTCTTAGATAACTATAAGTAATCGATTTCTAACCTCACATTATAGAAAATAATAATACATTTAATACATTTAGTAAATTTATTTAATGTCGATTGAATTAATGTTAATTGAGTTTAATAAATAATTATAAATATTCAAGTAAATAAACTGTTAAAAAAATGTCAGAATAAAAATCAAAATACCATGTGTGTTACCAGTACGCGGGTTCTTTTGAATGGCACACGTGAGTGAGTGAAAAAGAAAGAAAAATATATTAATTAATTTAAAAAATGAGAAGAAGTATCCGGAATTATTTATTATTGATAGTTTTATTATTTTTTTTATATTTTTATTCGACAGATCGATGGATAATTGTTTGTAGTATTGTTTTTATCCAGACAATAGATTTGTGAGTGAATAATAATAATAATAATAAAAATAAATGAATAATAATCGATCATTAATTATTCATATTAATAAGTATGGCAAGATTATAATAAATAATATATATATATATATATATATATATTATAATATATAATAAAACAACATTACCATGACAATATTTATTTATTTACGGACATGTACGCTTTCGCGTTCGTACGGCCGCCCGTTCGATTTTTTTTCCTCACTACCCTGCGTAAAGAAGTATAACTTCAATAAAAACAGCAGCAATAATTAATAATAATGAAATTAATAAATGGTCAATTCACAAAATAATTTAGATGAAATGTGAACAATTTCAGAATAAAAATTTAAAAACATCAATAAGACAGCAGTTATAATTAAGGCTAGGCATTAACGAGTTAATTAGGTTAAAATTTAAGTTATTTTTAACTTATTAACTTAACTTACTAGTTCTCTGTTTTAATTAGCTTAACTTTAACTCAACTAATTTGTACCTACGTTAATTTAAAATCAACTTATATTATTTATACCATTCCCAGTTAAGTCAATTATGAATTTGCATATTATCCAAATATTATTTATATACCTAAGTTATAAGTTCATAGAATATAGAACATATTATTAGAAAAAAAGATATATTAACAAATAATTTCCTACATATATTTATAAATAAAAACTAATATGTAGCATAAATTAGGTACTATTTAATAATGATAAAGGGGTAACCATGTTTGAAATATTTATAATATTTACTTCAACCATGAGGGTAACATAATATTTATTTGGTCGCCCGTATAAAAACATCAATAGATACGAGTCCTCGGATTTTCGATTCATAATACCTACTTATTAAGTAGATACTCATTAGTTACTTTTAATGATGGTGTGTAATGTTATAAGTGGGAAACAAATACAAATAATTAATAACAAAAAACGACTTTACCTATTATGAATACAATAAAAGTTACAAAATATGTTGAAACTCTTTAATTATATTCAAACCAACTTGTTAAAAATAAGGATTCTCTGATATGTTTTTCATTTAAGCTTTCTTATTATTCATCAAATAATTAAGAATATAATAATTATGGCAATAGTGTTATTAATAGTGTAATTTACCAGCTGTAGTTATGTTGAACCCTTAAGTTTTCTATAATTTATTTAGGATTGCCCGGCATCGTTGAACCACCCATTGGTCTAGTTCATAACATGAATATACAACTTTTTAATTTTTTTTTTTTTTTAATTGATCTTTTAAAGCCCTGCGACTATGGCCATTGGCTGATTGTGGGGTTTTTATGATTGTAGATAGTAGGGTTTGTTGGGAGGGTTAACTTTTTAATTATATTCAAAATAACATAAAATTAATAAGTTTGAATTGATTTTTAATATTCCAAGAACTAAAAGAATTAGGATTCTATCATAATATGTAGGCACATAAATTAATCGAAAAAGTAAAAAAACTATAATATACAATTTTTTTGAAATTTAAAATTCATCAAATAATCAAGAATATAATTTTGGTTATTTTTATATTTACCACTAATTGCTGTAGTTAGGTTGACCAAAATTAATATATAAAATAAAAAAATACAAATATTAACCACTACTAAACTATTCATTTTATTATTCAAATATAAACTATAACATTATGGTGAAATGAAACACATTAAACATTTAAGTTGAATATGCATGTTTATCATCATTGTTAGCTATAAATACCTTTTGGGTATTTGAATAATACATTTGTTAGCAATTTAATAATGCAGTTGTGTACATATAAAAACATATTTAGGAAAAATAAATAATGACTATAAATTTTGTTATTATATAATAATTTTTTATTTATTTATAACTATTCCCATAATCTTTGTTCATTGTGTTGCCTATTGTCACTAGCCTTGTAATTTATATTGGTATACCTTAGGGTGGTCAGATTAAATTAAAAGAAATCCCGGACAATAAATTTTAACTTGAACTAATATTTCTGGTCAGGTGGCACTGCTGGGAGCCTTCCTATTAATATTATTTTATGTCAAATGTTCTTATGTCATCACACTTACTCATTATACCTTGTCTGTTGTATGGATTGTAAATATTCTTTTTAAAATAAAAAAAAAAACTTGAACTCGTCCTATCTAACCATAACTACTTAATATTTACTTAACATATTTTACTAAATATTAAAATTATAGAAATAGAAAACATACTTTTATTTTAGATAATAATATAATACGTAAAAATAACGAAAATTTGTAAACTATTTTGAGTTGAAAATTCATAAAAATGTTTCTTTTTAAATCCAAGATTTGAAAATTTAACACAATTTTTCTTATAAGTTTGTGTTTGTCTACCTTTATGAACAAAAAAATCTTACAATTTTTTTTATAAGTATTTAATGTTCGAATTTTGACAAAACTTATCAAATTCAAATTTTATTAATTATTTTGTAGTTAAAAATGTATAAAATGTTATATCTAAGGATTGAAAATTTAAAAAAATTGTATTGATATTTATAGAAAAAAATTATAGAAAAAAAAACTAAAAAAAATTGCAGTTGACCGTTGCGTAAATTGTCACCCATGAATTTCTATGCGATCAGGTTCCAATCTCACAAGTCGCAACATATTTATTAATTAAAACTCCTGTTTGTTTAAAAATATAAACCTATGAATAAAGCATACAAATTATTATACACCATAATTCTATTTATATGTCTAACCCAATTACTTTTTAAAATAAATGTAAAATAATAATTTCATTATGATTAAATAGAATTTATAGTAAAATTTTCACGATTTTTTTTTTTTTTTACTGAACAAAATTTTTTTAACAATCTGTATTTACATGTAGTACAATGAGTAAATGGGATGTGTGTTGATTAGCGGGAGGGGAAAGTCACCCAATGGTGGTACCCTGTGGAAATCGATTTAAGGAGAGAGTAGGTCCCTACACCAGTTCCTTTTCAGGCGCCTGGGTGGATTACCTGGGATTTGTTTGAATGATAGTTGAGTGATTATAGGATTTGAGTGAGTGCTGTATGTTTTGTGTGTTTTTTGCAGGTGATCATAGCAATATTATTTAAGGTTGGAATGCAGATGTCTTTATGAAGTGATTCATTGGTTATATACCATGGGGCACCTGATATTAATCAAGGACATATAGACTGGAATGCCTGAATATTCTGGTATTTGACGGTTTGGCAGAACCCCAAAGGTCATGATTTTTACGTTATAATTTATAAGTGAAATGAAGCACTTTTCGTGCGATAGTTTAATCTCCTGACTCCTATATACATATTAGTAACATTTTAAATAGTTTTGATTAGTAAATATTGATGTACTAACTTATTTTTATTTTAAGCATAATACCTACATATTACATAATATTTGAATAAATACTATAGTAATTATTTATATTATTTAACCGTTATTGGTATTTGCGTAGGTACCTACCTATGTAAAAAAATAGTCTGTACAAACTAAACATATTCATTGTTTATATAATCTATACCTATGAATAAAAATTAAATTATGTAGGTACCTACAAATGTACAGAACACATTTAAATGTTATATAATAATGAATCGAAATACAAAATTTTTAATTTATTGTAATTGGTAACTTAACATAACGCTAGTGTTCATTGATAATGGATAAGTGGATAACTAAAGTATAATATTATAATATATGTTTTTATTTAATGAAATGTAATATGTAAATAATATTATTTATAAAAAGGCATAAAGATCAGAAGTAGTTTTCGAGTTTTAAAATGTAGGTTTTAATTAATTACTGCTTATGTTCAGTTTAAATTACTGGGATTCCTGTGCAGTCGTTTTTCGCTTTTTTTTTAAAAAAAAAAAGCAAAGACTATTTTAACAGTCTCCAAATTGTAAGTCTATATTTGAAATGTCATCAATAGTGTTTGACGTAATTAATGACAGTGGTCCATTATATTATAGGACACTAAAATCGTGTTCTTCGCAGTTAAAGAGCATCAATGCCGTAATATTGTCTAATAATTTAAGTTTTGTACACCGCCAAAATTCACGGTGTCGACCAGTGTACACCAGTGTACACTAGTGTAGTCAGATGGAAAACTATATTACCTAGTAATACATTGTATTAATTGTACAATCTTATATGGGGCAAATATTGATATGATAATTGATAAATGATAATAAATAATATTAATAATTAATTAGTCATACCTAATTAACGATCTATATATATATATATATATATATATATATATATATATCTATATATATATATATATATATATAGATATATATATATATATATATATATTCTATATTCTAATTACAATTAATTAGGTAGGTACCCAAAGTTTAGAGTAATTTGAGTATTACAACTTCCATTTTCCAGGCAAAACAATCAAAAAATACAAATAACAGTTTTTGGACATAACCTTAAAAAAAAAAACCCCTATATCTTTTTCTATAATAATATGAAACTGGTATAGGCGTGTCCTAACCATTCTTATATTATCTATGGTTTAATCACAGAATAGATGAAATTTCAATAGATTTCATCTATTCTGTGGTTTAATTGCGTATTTTTATTTGATCACTGAAAAGTGATAACATAAACGTTGTTGATAGAGGGCACTGATATCGACATATCGTGTCATAATTATAGATGTTGCCATAGAATTGATACCATAGAATATACCATAGAATATTCTATGGTCAGAATCCAGGGGTTCTATTCTCGAGATCAATCGACAAGAAGTCGTGTGCGACTAAACTCGAATGATTATGTCGTAGTCGAGAGTCGACTGCAAAACGCTATTCTCCAAAAGCATTCGACTAAAATTAGTCGCATTCGAGATTATGTCGACTAGTAATAATCTTGTCGAGTGAACCACAATGGTATAACCCACGGTTTAAGATATACAGGTTGCACATCGACTACTGATAAGGTGAAATACGAAATGACTACCAATAATTAACCAGTAGCGCTCCAAGCGGCAGTATTACAATTAACCAATTATAGATATATAGGTGTAAAATTAGTTCTAAATGTCGACACATATGGTTGAGTGTTGACATTAAGCGCCACTAGTTAATTATTAACACCTGATTTTTATAGTCACTTTGTAAATCAGTCTGGAAGCGGTTTACTATAGGGCGATGTGCAACCTGTATATCTTTAATCGTGGTATAACCTAAAATTCATTTATTATCAGAAATATTCCCGCCAAAATATGATATATTGATACCACGAATTAAGATATATCTTAATTCGTGATTGATACTGATTGTTACTAATCAAACCTACCTTATTAGTTATTATTGTTATTAATTATTATTTATTACCTTATTTTGGATGCTCAAAGCCGACGTACGTTTTGGTGGTTCCATAAATGGAGTGACTAACTCGATTAAATATTTTGTTAAAACTTTACTCAATCGGTAAGTTTTTGTAAAAAGATGATCACTTAATGCTAATAAAGGGTCTATTTTAATGCCAAACGGTTGTCTGACATTTTGAGCTTCTTGCCTCTCTATATTAGCAATAGCAAACATCATAGCTCTTTCATATTCATTCGCCATTATTGTTATATTTAATAAAATATTAACTCAGCAGTTATAAAATAAAACAACAATAATAAATTAACAAAATGAAAAGGTAATCGACAATCGTAATACAAGTACCTAAACACAATAATACAAGATGACTTATCAATAATCATAGTATTCTGCAGTTGATTTGCGTGAAATATATTAAATCTATGGTGCTCGAAATTAACAAATCATTCGACTAAATTTTGTCGAATGCGATATAGCAGTAGACATAATGTCGAACGGTTTTCGTTCGAGAAAAGTCATACATCATTTCGAGAATACCATGGACGACGAATCGATCGAGTTCGACGATGAATCGATCGAGTTCTGATTTATGTCGAATGCGACAAAATTCGAGAATAGGGCCCCAGTTCAGAGTTCTCGATTTAAAATAAAGCTTTTAGCTTATTGGAGTGTTGCAAACATTTACATTATGTATATTCGTATTATTTATATATCTTTAATTTTGTTTTTATTGTAATCGATATATTAAATACTGTAAGAATGTAAGATATAATGTTGTATGTACAAAAATAAATTATTTGCAAAAATAAATTATTAATATTTTATAAAAATTAAACAAAAGCCAAAAGGTTATTCATACAATCATACCCCATGGTAGTATTATTTCCCTACAAATGCTAAATATTTACCGAAAAAAAAAGTTTAAATTCCAATGTTGAGGAAGGGGGAGGGTACTTTAATATATCTCGATTTCCTGTTATAGCATACAACTTTTTTTGTTGTTGGAAATTATAATGTTATGTATGCGTATATAGGTACAGCATATAGCATCATAAGATACAGTGTTCTGTGTTACTATATGTATACCATACTAAAACGTTGCCAGAATCATTATGTAAAACTTTTGTATTGAATAATAGTATTGAATCTTATAATTTTCTAATAATAAGTATTGAATGATATTTTAGTCGTCATATAGATATTAGTTAATAAATCTTGTCAAAATGTCAAAAAAAACTCTCTCATCTTGAAATCGATATTATGTTCTATTTTTATCAAAATTAT